GCCACTAACAAAACAGAGATCCTACTATTCTCTACTGACTACATAAGAAATCACATCTATGGACAACCTTAGGTGTTAAATCAGACTTCTAAATTATTCCTGTGTCAGGAAGGTATTCCCAGACAAGGAGAAAAAAACGATGAATTGAAGATTCGAGGGCTTTCCTACAGTGTTGCCTTCATAAAGCAAAAGAGAGAAAAGAAATGAACATGGAGTCTTTGTTCATGTAGGCTTCTTTTTTTGTTATTGTTCTGTTTTCTTTGAACAAAGCAGAATGTTCTTTTGATTCTGAGATTTTGCCCATCCTGTAGCTTAATGTCTTCCATGAGCAAATTTTTAGTTTTTAAGTCAAGCAGCTTGTCTCATGTCCACCCAATCACTTTTTATACAACCTATCTACATTAACTGTATTTACATAAGCTGTTTCTGCCAGCATTGTTATAACAATGAAAAATGCAGATACTTAAAATTAAGATCACCAGAGCTACACTGCAGAGTAAAGCTGGGTGTATGTTCATTGTGTCACCTCTGATGAATGGGGTCACAATTGTTTTGATAGATTGAGCTAACAACTTGTTTATGCATATACACAAAAACCTGTCTTGCATTTTTTCTCATAAATTATGCAGGATTATCCTCTTGAAATGACTTTGCCTGTCTGACACACCCAACCTTTTATCCTCCTCAGATTCATGGTATTGAATCACATTTCATAAGTCTGAAATAAAAAGCTCATTCTACTTTTTGAGTAGAATAAGTAAAATCCCACAAAACCCAGCAAAAACCAAACCCACAAAAGGAAATAGAATACACACCACCCAGCAACAGAATCTATGCTTGTCTGAAAACACTGTAAATGACTGGAAATACTCAATTTTGGAGTGCAAAGGCCTAAAAAGAACACCCAAAATGTTCTGAGTTGACACGACTGAAACTGAAGTTCCGCATCATATAGCTAAAATGGGTATGTACTATCATAGAAAAAGTAGTTGGGCTTGCAATCTTTTTTCAGTTTCAGTAAAAGACAGTTTATATGCCTTTTAGTTCTCGTAAAAAATAGAAAAAAAGATGAACCTAGGGAGATAGGTTACAAAAGCTGAATTTTTTCAAAATTACTTATGCAGTCTATAACCTCCATAAACATCAAGTTGCATCAAAAAAACAAAGGCAATTATCTGGTCCATAACTACGTAATAAATTTGGAAAAAGAAAAAAATCCTATAAACACCTATAAAAAACCCCATGATTGTAAATGGACACACATCACTGATGATGTTTCAGTGTGTGGCCCATGTTGCAAGAGGTACTTTTTCTTTGAAGAATTTTTTGATAGACAATCCAAGTTAAAGAAAAAGAGTTGCAACATATCTAGCTGTCTTTTATACTTCCTTTGGAAGGAAAGGAATTTAGTTGTGCATCATGCAATTTAGAAGTACCTCTTTAATGGGCAACAATGCAGTTTGGGATTAAAACTATTTTAGTGACAATACCTTTCCTAAAATATTATTTAAAATCTTTGGTAAAGCTATCTGAGAGGAGGGAGAGATGGAGCCTTCTGATCCAGTATCACTAGCATTTTAAATTAATATAATCTTTTGGTCATTTGTAATGACCTTCGAGCTATGACATGTATGCCAAATAAATAGAAGTGTCACAAAAACATTAATCTGGAAACCATCTTTTTGTTTGTCTCTCCACCAATAATGATATTCTAAAAATATCTTTATTGTGAGGCACGTTCACTGAGCTGTGCTTCCCACATCATAGCTTGTGTCCAATATGATTATAGTCTTTGGAGCTCTTTGGATAATTTGCTGACAAAATCTCCCTTGTTCCTGCTTTTGACAATCTGTATGATAGCATATGAGATTTGACCTTTTCACTGATGTCACATACAATAGTCCTTACAGAATAACTATTAAAAAGAACCCCAAGCCCCCACAATAAGTAGAAATGAAAGCTAAATATCCAAGTTCTTTTAGCTAGATGCAGATGCTTTAAAGGTCCATAAGAAACTTCTGGCTTTGATGTTGAAAGCTCCGGTGCGTTTTTACTCACTCAGCATGAAAGAATTGATAAAAGGAATGTATTGCATAGAATGCTTTCAGATATGGAAAACTCTAGTCGAAGAGGAAGGCAGTGTCATGAACAACAGCAAAATGACCAAAGTATGTGTAGTTTAGTCAGCTCAGGAGAGATGAGGATAACTCTGTTTTCAAGGTATTAATGTCCTAATAGAAATAGCAGAATGATATGAGCTATTTTAAAGTTTCCAAGTAGAGAACTATATAGAGATGGATTTTTGACATTTTGTCTCTTAATGCCACCCAGGAATTTTCAAACAAACTAAACGGTTTAAATTTAAATGGTAAGAAAAAAAATCAGTAAGAAAATTCATAGAAATTATGATGTACCATATATTTTTAGCTTGGATACAGTAAAACTCCTTTACTTGTTTTAGAACTGAATCATGTTCAAAGGCTTACAACTATGGTTTTGCAAATGACCAAATTCAGTTCTTCTTAATGATTTCTCTCCATGAATACTTTACCTGCTCAACAACAATGATAGTCTTCTTGGTCATGAACATGTCAAAATTCTATATTCATTCATTTTTCCTTACATTCAAATTATTTTGAGAATGGAATGTTCCAAATGGTAAGCAGAGATATCAACTTTGAGCCAGCAGTGTGCCCATGTGGCAAAGAGGGCCAGTGGAATCCTGTCTTATATCAATGATAGTGCGGCCAGCAGAACTAGGAAAGGGATTGTCCCTCTGTACTTGGCACTTGTGAGGCCAGACCTCAAAACCTGTGCTCAATTCCGGGTACCTGATTTCAAGAAAGACACTGAGGTGCTGGAGCATTTTCAGAGAAGGGTAACAAAGCTGGTGAAGGGTCTAGAGAGTAAATCGTGTGATGAGTGGTTGAGGGAGCTGGGGTGGTTTAGTTTGGAGAAAAGAAGGCTCAGGAGAGACCTTATCCCTTTCTACAACTACCTGAAAGGAAGGTGTAGCAAGGTGGGGGTTGGCCTCTTCTCCCAGGCAACTAGTGATGGGACAAGAGGAAACGGTCTCATGATGTGTGAGGGGAGGTTCAGGTTGGACATGAGAAAGAATTTCTTCGCTGAAATTATTGTCAAACATTGGAATGGACTGCCCAGGGAAGAGGTGGGGCCACCATCCCTTAAAGTGGTCAAGAAATGGCTGGTGTGGCACTTAGTGATATGATTTAGTTGAGAAAGTGATTTTGGTTGAAGTTGGATTCTGATCTTTTGCAACCTTAATGATCATATGAAATACCTTCATTGCATTTTTGCTCATTTAGCAAGGAAGAACTGATGAAGGGAATTTTTTGCATAGAATACTTTTAGAGAATTGTGATGATACAGAGACAGTGAAGGACACAATTATCTCTAACAATTTACAATTAATTATGTGGATATTTGTAATCATTTACTGTGGAGCTTGTACCACACAATCCAGTGGCCATTTTGAAGCTGCAGGAGATAAATAGTTGTTAATTAAAAAATCAGGTAATTTTAGCTAGAAAACCCCCAAACAAATTAAATATTTAATGAGAGTCTATAGGTGCAAAGGTTGGACAGATGTTCTTAAGAGGTCAACACAATTCATAAAAAAGAATTAATAAATATAACAGGTTTCCTCATTAACCACTAAGTATTTTCTCCAAAGTTCAAGTTCCTGCTGACTCAAAGACAACCTCTTCCACTTTACACAACTCATTTAGACATGATCTCAACTATAGATTGTGATTAGAGGAATATTCTCTTTTACCTTAGTTATCTGCATTCATATATTAAATTCTGGATTGTAGAATAGAAAGTGAAGTAAATTCCATGCATAAATGTGTGAGGGAAAAGTTTCAGAACACAAACTCTAAATATGCTAGGGGTTTTTCAGTTGTTGCTTTGCTTTTTTTGTCTTCATAAAATGGAGTAAATCAAACAAAAAAGCCTCAAAGACAACAAAAATCCCATGAAAAGATCTTTCGTTATCTCTTTCTGGCAAGTTCCTTACATTTACTACTCAGAATAATTTTTTTCTCTATCCAGTCAGTACTATAATTAAGAAAGCACACAGAGTTAATGTGCTTTCATGCTTCAGGCTATATACATTTTAATGCAGATCAACAGAGAAAGAATAAAACAAACAAAAAACCAAAAAACAAACTGCACTTCCAGTTTTGGATGTGGTTTTTTTGGTGGGGGGGAGTGGAGGAGTGTTGATTGTTAGGGGTTTTGTTGCTTAGAAGCTTTACTTAACTAGCATGCCATTCAAAATACTATGTATTAGTGCCATCCTTTAAAAGTGGAAGATTTGAAAGCATTGATTTAAAGGAAGTTACAGCTCTAAGAAATGGGTTTCAGATATAAGCTCCCCCAGTTTTCACTCAAAGTGCATGCAAAGTTTGCACTTCAATAAATCAAATTCTAAATTAAAGCCTAATAAGCAAGCATGAAAATGAAGACTACACAATTAAAAATGCCTTGAGTGACTTGAATAACATCAATGAGTTTTTGTAACAACTTCCAGGATAAAATGCAATCCTTCAGGTACAAGGAGAAAGAACTAGTCCAATAAAGATAATTAGAACAAGGCTGAAAACTACTTTCGCTTGACAATACTAGCTTTCTTTTTCTTGACATTGAGATCTTGATTATGATGTATTTGTGATGAATTTGAAACTGCTTCCTAGAAATTGAATCTTTAACACTTTACCTAGTCTCATTCTACTTTCCATAGAGCTAATTCTATAGATTTAATTAACAATAAATGAATAAATTTAGACAAAAGTTAATAATTTTTTTTTAACCAGTGACAAATATCAGAATCATTTATTTCTCATTCAAGAGAATCAGAGTTAATGTTATATAGATGAGGATCAATAACTTGACAATAGTGATTTCAAGATCAAATTAGTGGTTTAAAATCACATTATCCAGACAACATAAAACCTCTATCCTAGGATGCCTTATTATATATTGTTTGAAAATATTTTAAACCTATAAAACAGTACAGTTTGTATATAGCACATTTTTAGAACTATTTACTGTTTAGAATTCAATCTTTTCCCTCTAGTATGCAATGCCCTAAAGTTTTGTTGCTTTCTTGTTTTGTTGGGTTTTTTTTAAGCAAAAGAAAATGCTAAGAATGTAACAATTAAAAATCCAGCTATGAATGGCAAAAATTTTCACCAGTGCCAATATCAGAAGACTAAATGAATGCAAGTCTTTCACGCTATTTTCACGTAGAGTCAGTAAAATTAAGTGTTATTGTGTCAGTTTGCTCACATACAGCAACAAATTAGACCACAATATTAGATATTAAAAATTCTATATTTTCCATTCTTCTTATTTTACACTGCTTCTAGTTTTGATCTTCAGGTGTTGCAGTCTAAAATATCATCAAGGACTCTTGTAGAGATGTTGTAGAAACTGTCCATAACCAGTTAGAACGGTTCTGCCTCTTTATTCACTGAAAAAAAAGTTAGTATGAAATATTCATGTTTGACTGTTTTATTTGCCTTTTCTTTGTATTGTATTTTTTGTGCATCTCTGTTATGGATGTCTATTGACTCCAACAATTTTCTGATATTCTGCTAAGGCTGCTGGGAAGTAAGTTTAAATTAGCAGAATATATAGGTTTATGTACCTATTTCATATTATAAGTTGCTGACATTCTTATAATTTTTCCTTACAATAGAATCACATGTGAATTTTAAATTTTGAAACAATAAAGAAAAACGAAACAAAACCAACATAGTTTGTTTTTATGAGACCAGCAGCACACAATAAATCTTTTTTCTGGCTTTTACATGAAAATTGGCCTGAATAAACAAGAAACTCTCTTCAAAGTTGGGAACACTCAGAAGTCTGCAAAAGTCCTATGTTAAACTTCAATGAAAATAAATGCAGCTCACTGTTCTTAAATGTCTGCTTCCAGATAGCCTCAAAGATGAGATGGTAAACATCACTGTGGGGAAATTTACTGATAATTTATTAAGAGTGAAACTGACAAATAACAATGCTTAGATGGAAAGGAATTTTAAATAATTCTAAGCCTATCTCATGTCAGGTTGATTTGCAAGACAAGCATTTCTAATATCAGTCTTCTTGCAAGACAAAGAGAGTACTGCACTCACATTAAATGCATAATATTTCAACTGTAGGGGAATAGATATGTTTTAGCTTTGTTTAGTTTGTGGTAGATTTTTGTCAGAAGTAGAACACACATTAAATACTATTTCACATGTGATTATATTTTTTTTGGAAACCTGTTACATGCTTTTTCAAGTGAGAATGGAAAGCAGAATTTAAGAGAGGAACTCCATGTAACAGTGAAGGAGGTCAGTGCTGTCCAGTGTTAAATGGCTGTTTTTCTCTTAAATAAATAAATATGTAAATTTTAAAAAAAAAAAATTCTCATCTCTGACTAGAAAAGTGTGCTGGTTTTGACTGCTATAAAATTATTTTTCTTAACAATGTCTGGGATCAGGCTGTGTTTGGGAACACAGGGTTGATAATATAGAGATGTTTTTGTTTTTGCTGAGCACTGCTCCCACAGGGCCAAGGTCTTTTCTGCTTTTCGTACTGCAACACTGGGGAGGAAGTTGGGGTGCATGGAAAGTTGGGAGGAGACACAGATGGGACAGGTGACTCAAACTAACTAAAAGAATATTCTAGACCTTATGACGTTATGCTCCGTATATAAAGTGGAGGGAAGAAGGAGGAAGGTGGGGTTGTTTGGAGCGTGTATCTTCTCAAGTAACCATTATTCGTGATGGAGTCCGGCTCTTCTGGGTGTGGTTGAACACCTGCCTGCCAAAGGGAAGCAATAAATTACTTGTTTTGCTTTGCTTGAACACAGCTTTTGCTTTTCCTATTGAACTGTCTTCATCTGAACTCAAGAGTTTTCTAGCTTTTCCCTTCCAATTCTTTACCCAATACTGCTGGTGGGTGAGCGAATAAGTGACTGCGTTGGTTGCAGGCTGGGGTTAAACCATGAAAAGTTTTTAGTGTGGGGTGGCAAAGGAGGTGTAAATTCCTATTTGTTTTAAAACAGTTACATTTTTATGTAACTCTCTTATAATTGAACTTAAGTAATTTGCATTCGTACTTTTATTCTATTTCAACTGATTCTCCTACTACAAAGAAAGAAACTGCTGCAGTAGCTAATCTGGGTTTTTATAGCTAATCTGTGGTAGTTTGGTCTAGGCCTTCCTTGGTGGCCAGTTTGCAGCCAAGGAAACGCCCAGATTTACCCAGTATTCCCCACGATTTTTATGTAAACCAGGCTATAAGAAGAAAGGAGAAAAGGCCTTCACTCTTTTTTTTCTTCCGGTGGCTTTGGAGGTGCAGTTTCCCTGCTGTTGAGTCTGTCGTGTTGGGGAGCGAGGCCTGGTAAGGCCTTGTCGACCTTGGGAGACGGAGGTTGCCAGCAATGGTTCCAGTGTGACTTTCTGTTGTCCCAAGGAGAGTAGTAAGATAGTCTTTTGCTAATTTCTTTTAGTTGCTAGATCTCGGGCTACTGATTGGGATATATATATTTTATTTTGGTTTTGTTCCTTTTCCCTTCCCCTCTCTTGTTTCGATTTTCTTGGTTGTTTTTTTTTCTTTCCCTCTTCTCCCTGAGGTTTGGAGGGGGGGGACTTCTTGTGGTAAGGTTTGGAGACTTGGCAGGGAGCCAGCTTCAAACCATATCAGTACATCTGCTAGATAATCTGAACATTTCATTCGTTTAATTTCGGACATCTCATTTTTCCCTCAGATGTAAGTAATCTAGATGTTTTCAGAGACTTTTTCATCTTCCATGCTTTCTCATTGGCTTCTGCTTGAAGGCCAAGGAGCTTCAAAGTAGCATCACCAGGCCAGGCCTGGTATCACATGGCCTTTGTTAAATCAAAGCTCTATTTGCTAGTTTTCCTGTTAGCTCATTATAGGAGCCATCATCAGACAACAGAATTACTGAATAGTTAAAGAACAATTTATTAATCATTGTTATTTTGGGACTACATTTTCATTTTTGATTGTAATATTTTAACTGTTTGCTTTGAAATTTGTTTTTTAATAATTCTCAGAGATGTTTTCTGTTGGTTGGCTTCTGGCCAGCATTCCTGATGAAGAAATTTTTATGCATTTAAGACAGGTATGATATTATTAAGTGTAGGAAAGACTATGCTTATTTAAAGTCTGTCCCTTCAAGTTATCCCAGAGCTCACCATGTGGACTATGAGATGTTAATGGTTTTATTTTGCTAGGGCTATCACAGGGTGATCCAGAATAGTGTAGGTCAGTGATGCCTTGGCTTTCAGCCTGTGTATTTTATAAGTTCTAAATCTGCCTGTCAAGGGAAAGAAGAGAAAGATAACAACTGCTAGTTAAATCAAATCACTTCTACTAAATTGGACAAATTTGGTTAGCCTCTGATGCACCTTGGCCCAGGTCCATGCCAGTGAGATTGATTGTGTTCAATCTCGTGGGTGAACAAAACACAGTCCACGAATACCATAGAACATGCTGTCTGCAAGAACAGCTTTATATGGACAAAAGGATGTTACTCAGACTTCATGGACAGATATGGCTGGAAATAAGTGATAAGGTTTGTCATGACAAAAAATGTTAGAGGAGAGTCTAAACTTAATAAATTAAAATTTATTTCTGGTTATTTTTAAGGATAAATTTCAGATTTTCAATGTGTACCACTTAAATTTATATCTCCAAGATATTTTAATTTTCTCTGAAAATAAGTTGTAAGATTTGCAGGAATACCCAACACAGTAGGATCTAAGAATCACTGATCAGTTGTTATTAATATGGAATTCCAGTAAATAACATTGCTTTTATCAATACTTCTAAATCTCATGAGTTTTTATCAGTATTATAATTCTTGTAAATAGTTGGTATATTGCCCACACTGAAAGGAGGATTTTCCACTCTGAGACATGATCTGTTTATAAATAACAGAGCAGTCATGCTTCACATCATTTTCCTATAGGCATAGGGATGAAATAAATGTACTAAACTCATAATGTGAGGGGAAAATAGATACATAAGTTGGTTGGGTTTCATAATTTCAATATAAATTTATTTCAGACATAAGGGGTTTTTTTCCCACTATATATAGATTTCATAATAGTACTTTAAAAGAAAACCAAAACATAAATCTGGCACTTTAAAATTGTCACCCATGATTAATAATCTTGTTTTTGTTAGGCCTTAACCCAGCTTTTTTCAGTCTTGTTTTTCTGTTTTGAGAGTACAAAACCTTGTGACAAGACTCATTTGTTATGTGTGGTAAGACACAAGTCCTCCTTCATGAAATAAACAAGAATGTTAGAATTCAGAAATAGAGTTTTAATGCTATCTTCAGATATGTAATGATATGATTAGCATGGCATGCTTTATAGCCAAGCATCAACTAATATAGAAATGTGTTGCCTGTTGAATGTTGGAAGTTTATCATACATTTAACCTTTCAATCTTATTCATCTATGGGAACCTGCATGAGGTAACATTACAAAATAAAATTAAAAAAAATTTATAAATTAACAAATTAGGAAAGGATCATGTATTTTTCACAGCAAAAAAGAGCGCTAATGAGTAGGTTGTAGTGACTCTTCTCTACACACCTGAGGCTTGAGGACTTAATACTCTTATTAGAAACCAATAAATAAATAATCTTCATCAGATCCTTTAACATTCCTAAAATCCTACATCATTTGAACTTTTCCCCTAATTTCTAATGGGGAAGTTTCTCACATGTATTATTGATGTCTTTAAGTGTCTTTTTTCGAAGACTGTAGTTCAACTACCTTCTGTCTGACAGAAAGACAGCAGCAACCTAGCAATTTCAGCAAGACCGCAATTTTGATATCCATGTTGGTTAGGAAGAATCCAAACTCTCTCTATGATCTCAGTAACTGAATACATTTGGGAAAAAAATTAGTGAGCATTTAGAGTACGTGTGTAGAAGACAGACCACTGGCTGTTTAAACCAGCAGTTAAAAATAATGTAAGTGAAAGTCGAACATGACATGACCTAAAAATCTTATGAAATGTTACAGTAAACTGCAGTAACAATTATAGGAGACAAGCCTAGTTTCAGTTTAGAGAGTATGAAGTTTTGTATTGGGTGCCCACAGCAATGAGGGCTGAGGGCAGCCTCTGTGAGGAGAGGCCAGGGCTGCCCTATGCCAGGCACAGCTTGTTCCAGTTGGCTCCAATTGGCCCTGAGAAACCTACAACAAGACATAGCTGAGCCCCTCAATCAAGCTGGTGGTGGCTCTGCAAAAACATGTTACTAATAAATCAAAAATCCATTAAAAAGGAGGTTTTAAGAATTACAACCAATCTTGAGTGAGATTGTTTTGCTTTTAACTTGCCGTCCTGTTTTGGAACTTTCAGCATACAATCTCCTGAGATATTCCTCAGATGACCTCAGAGAACCTGGTTTGTATAAAACTAGGTCCATGACATGCTGGATTTTCTCTATAAACTCCTTGAGGAAACTGGTTACTTCACTGAAAGTCTTGTCTCTCTAGTTATACTTCCTTCCCTTGTTCCTTTCTTCTGAAGAAATTAGATGGAGAAAACCTATGTAATGGTCAGTTCACTTGGGATTTTTTTGTTGATGTTTTGATCATGAATAGAATATCTATGTCGAAAAACCCCCAACAGTTGTTAAGTTGGAGGAAAAAAATAAGAACTGGCCCTTAAGTGGACACAGATGCAGACACTTGGTGTACAAAAGAATAAAAACGACATGCTGACCTTTGAAGAGATTTTTATGATATTTTTAGACTAGCTCCAATGCTCCAACCTTTCAAAGAACATATAAATATTTAAAGAGTATAAATAGATTGGAATTTTTCCAATATTAAAAGAAATACTTCCTGAATTGAAAGTGGAGCAGCTAACACATATATCACTGTATTAATTATAATGGTACCAGTTTCTAAACATTGAAAAAGCTATGCATCTAGCACTTTACTGCAAATTATGTTTTTAGATATAGATTCAGCTGTTCAAGTAAAGGCATATCACAATGACAATGATTGATATTTGTGCAATTTTATTCTTTGGGAGCCTGTCTTTTTTTCTTTGCTTTTATTTATTTTGTTTTTGTTTGTTTGGTTTGGGTTTTTGTTTCTTTGTTGATTTTGTTGTTTTTTGTTTGTTTTGGTTTGTTTTGGGGGGTTTTTTGTTTGGTTTTTTGTTTTTGGCTTTGGGGATTTTTTTGTTTTTGGCTTTGGGGATTTTTTTGTTTTGTTTTGTTTTGTTTTTTCCCCTTTGGTATAAACTATGGAAATTAATAACCCAGAAATAAAATGCTTATGTGTAAAACCAGTATATCCTGATGCACCTAAAGAGTATAGAACTGAAATAATCTGCAACTTAATGTTTGCTCCCATGCAATTTTCCCCAAAGTTCAAGGAGAATGTCTTGTAAAATACCATCCAAAAGACTGGCACAGGCTAAAAAACAATGCGACCCCCAAAGAAGAGAATGGCTAAACTACTATTTCCATGTGATAGTTTTCAAATAATGTATTTCTCAAATAAAATCTCTCTGCCTTTTAAATGCTATGATTTTTTTTATAATTTAAGATGATGTGTTAAGTTGCTGATATTTTAGAAAACATACTATTAAGAAGAGCTGTAACTGATACCTGTATTTCTTCTTAATAAGAACTCCAACAAAATTCATGAACTGTTTTACATTTTATGAGAAGAAACAAGGAGAGAGAATGATTTCTTGCTGATGCCATGCATTGAACAAAGTACAACATAAAAACATCTAGAAGTACAGTTGAAAAAAACAAAAAAAATTAATGACATTCTTTTAGGCTCTAGACACCAAATAAATCCTGTATTTTATGCCAAAGTACAAAGGGTAAGAATAAAACTTTCCACCTCTACATAAAGTATTACAGTTGCTATTTAACCTTGCATAAACCTATAAAACAAACAGACCCATAAAATCCTCATAAAATTTTGTATCCAGAGTATCCCTGGGAAAACACATGCTGTCCAGAACAGAAGTTAAGTGAGCCTATATTTAAGAATGTTTTGCAAAGATATACAATTTATCTTCCACAAACTGTAATTTGGTCATGTTTTAAAAATGCACGGACAAAACACATATGTAGTTTTGTCTCTCATTGAAAATCTTCCTCATTTTTTTGCTTTGTTCCAAAATTGAGATCTTACATTTTCCAGATAGGTAGTATTGTTTGAGGCAAATGCTGATACAACTCAAACACTTCAAATTAATATGAAAAATGAATTAGCAAGATCTATTTCAGGCTAACAATGCAAATTTAACAAGAGCTGTTCCCTTTCTGCAGCTCCTGTTTTAATTTCATTGTTTTCCCTTAAGTTTCTGTTATCTTTTTACTCACTCGTATAGTTCTCATTTGCCGTATCTAAAACTATTTTTCTTCTCTATCTGTTTAACTATAAAATA